CCTGCTTTCTCCCATGTATACATGTTATTAAACTTGGTATTATTTTCTCCTGCTAACCTGTCTTGTTAATTATTTGGCCAGCCATAAGAACCTTAAGGGAAAGGGCAGAGGGGGATTCTCCCTCTTCCTCCACATTAGCATCTTCTTTGCAATATATAATGTTTAAATTCTTCCTGATATATTGTAATTAAATTTCAACTTGGATAAAAAAACTAAGATTGCATCAATCATATAATATTACATAATATTAATTTTCTAACAAAACTTTATAAAAAACTGAAATGTGAAACAAAATGGAGTCACTTATGTCTAAGGGCTTTAAAATGGAGCTGGGAAGCCATTAAGGAAATGGGTCTTATGCATGTCCTCATCAGGCAAAATATGAACTTTTGAACTGAGTCAAGATACAAACATTCTGAGAACACTGCAACTCATCACAGTGGTGCACTTTTTCCTCCCTCTTGCTAGCCTTAGCAATCAATTATGTTTAGCCAAGATTAGCTTTCTGCTGCCAAGCCCAATTAACATTCTTTGTAATGCAAACCTCCTTTCTTGCCTGTAAAAGCCCCTGACTTCTTTACTTCCCAGAGGGACATTATTTGGGCTTCTGCCTGAATCTGTGCTCCCCCAATAGCAATTCTTTGATCCCAAAACAAATGCCTCTCTGCTTCTCATTTTGGCTCTTTATTTTTAGGTTAACCTACATGGTGTCAGAAGTGGGATCTGAAGCCCTCTCACCTTCACAGACTGGCACCTTCTGGAACTGGGTACGTTACCTACATGAGCTGCCTTGCGCTTACGGTTCCCAAGGATTGCTGCTCTTCCAATCATGGGTCTTCTCAGGTTCTGACCTCCCTCCATTTGGTCAAGGTCAATGCCTTTTTTGGGGGATTGGGGGCAACTACCTAGGAGATGATTGTCTCAGTGCCGGCTTGGTGACCACTGCCATAGGAAAGATTCCCTCAGCAGGAGTTTCTCTTTGGTTGGTGAATACTCTAAATTGAGGGATTGCCCTGTTGTCATTCTTCTTTGCATGCTTTTCTTTAACAAGGAACTTTCATTTTTTAAAGTTTTCAAAGCAGTTTCTCCCTCAGGAACTCTAGCTGGCTTTATGTTCAAGAACTATGCTCCCTTCTTCTTGTAAATTTCTATCTCGATGAACCAAAATTACAAAGGATGGTTTAAAATTACAATGGCCAATAGTAGGAATGTTCTAATTAGATAAGATCATTTAAGAGGTGCACTTAAAAGCAAACACTTCAAAATTCTAAAATAGTTTCATTGAAAGTTTTGTTGCAAAAAGCTATGAAAAATTAAAGGTATAAGAGGTACCTAAAAGAAAAGACTATATAACTGTAAACAAAAGTCTACCAAGTTAATGGCCTTACAGACACCCTCATATCTACTTTTGCAGGAGGGCCCCTCCCAGAATGGACGAGACTCTGAGAGTTTTCCTAGTAAACTGCTACATTATTCCCTTGAACAGCCTAGGGGAAACTAAAGTTAGAATTAATGGGGTTGTTTAATACTGCCAGAAATACTTACATGTGTCCTGACTGAAAACTCACAAGATAGTTAGAAGGATTTTTTGTAGTTCTATGGTAAAAAATTGGCCAAATTAAAAGCTGATATTCAGAGCCTGATAGGAATTTTTTATAGGCCTTCTTCCCTAAATTAAAATAAAACTATGTGCCCAGAGGGAAAGAAGCAAATTAGGGATAATGTAAATAGATGGGTAAATCAACCTATGATATCTTTTAGGTTACAAATCAATTCCTGAGGAATGGAGAGTAAATGTCCTTACTTTACAAACCTTTGCAAAACTGAAAATGCAAATCTAAAGGCAGTTCAGATCCCACCCATTCCCTTTCACCAATCCTAAAACCTCCCTTATTTGTCTTAAAAGGCTTGTAACCTCTCTGGGAACTCTTATTTAGACCATCCCCAATTCCTAAGATTGAAGGAAAATTTTAAATTGCAATCACCCCGAAACGTTTAAGAAAAAAACTTGCATGTTTTTTTCTCTCTGTCCTTTGAAGTTGTAAATTTTACCATGTCTTTAGAATGCAAAAACCCCAGGAGATAAACCCAGCTAGCTCAATCAGTAAATCCTGAGGTTAAAGAAAAAAAGGGAAAAATGTTTCATTTAAAATGCAGTCTGCTCTCACCTAAAATCTAATTCATAGCCTTCTTGTCTAAAGCAAATATAAATCTTAAGTCTTTCCCACAAATATTAACAATAACAACAAAAAACTTTTAAGCAGGTAATCTTAACTTGTTACTTATGTCAGAGACACAATTATTTATGAATTAGTGAGTTTTTTATTGTACCTGATTCATGGGTGAAATTTCAAAAATAAAAGCTATAAGATCTCTGTGTCTGTCTATATATATGTATGTATGTATGTTATATATGTGTGATATTTTTCTACCTCTGGATGGTATTATCAAAATTCATTTCTAAAGGGCTCTATTTAATTAACTTAAAATAAGCACTTATATAAATTATGTCTAAATATAATAGAAACTAACCCAAATGTTTTTCAAGTTAACAGGAGTTAAATAATCTTTGGTAAATAAAAGCTTGTTTAAGTTTGTTGGTTTAATTAAAATAGGCATGTCTTCAGAGTTATCAACATTGGATATAATGCAAACATGCAACTTT